ATCTATTGATACCAATGCATTTCATTCGTTTCTCTCAATATCATTTTCTGACATATTATTCATAATAAATTATGTAATATTAAAGTGAGAATATACTAAATATAGTTAATAAAAAATGATTTTCAAAAAAAATGTGCCACACCCCCTCCACTTGCCCCATTTCTCCAGTAAACGTGACACACATTGATGTGTTTGAAGTTGAAGAATTAATACCTAGAAAATAGTGTCATTACAAATTTGACATTTTAGGCTGACTTTAGAATAGTTTTACCAAGTGTAAATAATAATTTATTATTATGACTGATTTTTTATATTAAATATTGAGATTAGTTTAATAACAAATGATTTTCAAAGAAAATGTGCCAGGCCCCCTCCACATGCCCCATTTTTTAAATATTGAGATTAGTAATCTTGTGTTTTGTTTCAGATCTTTTGTGCTGAACTTACCATGGACAGTTTGCATGTGACGAGTGATACCTGGCTTGATTTTATATACAACATGGAGATGTGATGCACATAGTGTGCATTTGTATTCCTTGTGTGTGCCAAATAAAATTTCAAAATGTGATTCAGCAGAATCCAACAAATTCACTTCAGTGTGTTCAGTGTATTTAATTTCAAATGCTAGTGAAGCTGCTTCAAGTTTCTTATCAAGTTTGTTAAGATCATCCTTTTTAGTAACTTGAAGTAACTTGAAGTAACTTTGCTGAATGATTTGCTTCATTAATTCCAACCTTGGTATCAAATTGGTCGACCAGTTTTGATTCATATTGCTTCACATCATGTTTTTGATCTTCAGATAACTTTGCAAACTTTTGTATAAATTCCAGGTGTTGGTCGATCTTTTGAGCCTCGTTGAAGAGCTTGTCAATTAGTTTACCCACGTTTCTCAATTTAGCATGAAGGTGATCCATAGTATTCATTTATGGGGTCATACTTTATAAGAGGATTTACTCTGACCATTTTTTTTCTTCTGCCCATGAATTCATATCCGCAAGAGCGATAGACATATCCCATTCATGATTTGGATTGTGAGATTTATGAACTGTCGCCAAACATAAATTGCAGAAAAAACTGGTACTCTTTCTCTGCAAGACCAAACTTTTATACTTTTCATCTCCTAGTTTTCTACAGTGTTTCATCCCCTTTATACCATGTTGGGCAAATTGTCAGTGCATGCCAGAACAGGAAGAATATCAACTTCTATCAGTGCATCACTCTCTGGGGCATTTATAATGGCAAATGGAATGCGGCTTGCATCAGACTGTGGATTTGGATCTCTCCATACTTCATTACCATTATATTTTATCAGACGTATAGCACCACTGATGGCAAATACTTTGAAATTTTGGGACATTCCCTTGAAATCTTGGAAAGTGTCGCCACCCTCACCTACAACTATTTCTAACTTCTGTCTCATTTTCATCATCAAGGTCATAATCCAATTTGTTTTCAGTCAATATGTTGAGGACACTTTTCCAAACCAGGCCTTCAATATCATGAACAAACCAGCCCTTTTTATTTTGAGAGGCAGTTTCTGACACCATA